TATCATAGGTTAGGAGATTATGAGAAGGCCATTGACTATCACGAAAAAAATCTAGAAATAAGCACTACTATTGGCGATCGATCAGGAATAGCAAGAAGCAATGGCAATTTGGGCAATGCCTACGATAGTTTAGGAGAATATCAGAAGGCCATTGACTATCACAAAAAATATCTAGAAATAAGCACTGCTATTGGCGATCGATCAGGAATAGCAAGAAGCAATGGCAATTTGGGCAACACCTATCATAGGTTAGGAGATTATGAGGAGGCCATTGACTATCACGAAAAAAATCTAGAAATAAGCACTGCTATTGGCGATCGATCAGGAATAGCCAGAAGCAATGGCAATTTGGGCAATGCCTACGATAGTTTAGGAGAATATCAGAAGGCCATTGACTATCACAAAAAATATCTAGAAATAAGCACTGCTATTGGCGATCGATCAGGAATAGCAAGAAGCAATGGCAATTTGGGCAACACCTATCATAGGTTAGGAGATTATGAGGAGGCCATTGACTATCACGAAAAAAATCTAGAAATAAGCACTGCTATTGGCGATCGATCAGGAATAGCCAGAAGCAATGGCAATTTGGGCAATGCCTACGATAGTTTAGGAGAATATCAGAAGGCCATTGACTATCACAAAAAATATCTAGAAATAAGCACTGCTATTGGCGATCGATCAGGAATAGCAAGAAGCAATGGCAATTTGGGCAACACCTATCATAGGTTAGGAGATTATGAGGAGGCCATTGACTATCACGAAAAAAATCTAGAAATAAGCACTGCTATTGGCGATCGATCAGGAATAGCCAGAAGCAATGGCAATTTGGGCAATGCCTACGATAGTTTAGGAGAATATCAGAAGGCCATTGACTATCACAAAAAATATCTAGAAATAAGCACTGCTATTGGCGATCGATCAGGAATAGCAAGAAGCAATGGCAATTTGGGCAACACCTATCATAGGTTAGGAGATTATGAGGAGGCCATTGACTATCACGAAAAAAATCTAGAAATAAGCACTGCTATTGGCGATCGATCAGGAATAGCCAGAAGCAATGGCAATTTGGGCAATGCCTACGATAGTTTAGGAGAATATCAGAAGGCCATTGACTATCACAAAAAATATCTAGAAATAAGCACTGCTATTGGCGATCGATCAGGAATAGCAAGAAGCAATGGCAATTTGGGCAACACCTATCATAGGTTAGGAGATTTTGAGGAGGCCATTGACTATCACGAAAAAAATCTAGAAATAAGCACTGCTATTGGCGATCGATCAGGAATAGCAAGAAGCAATGGTAATTTGGGCAATGCCTATGATAGTTTAGGAGAATATCAGCAGGCTATTGGCTATCACAAAAAAAATCTAGAAATAAGTACCACTATTGGCGATTTATCAGGAATAGCAAGAAGCAATGGCAATTTGGGCAATGCCTATCATAGTTTAGGAGAATACCAGGAGACCATTGACTATCACAAAAAAGATCTAGAAATAAGCACTGCTATAGGCGATCGATTTGGAATGGCAAGAAGCAATGGCAATTTGGGCGATGCCAGTTATAGTTTAGGAGAATATCAGAAGGCCATTGACTATCACAAAAAAGATCTAGAAATAAGCACTGCTATTGGCGATCAATCACGAATAGCAAGAAGCAATTGCAATTTGGGCAATGCCTATGATAGTTTAGGAGAATATCAGAAGGCCATTGAATATCACAAAAAAGATCTAGAAATCAGCACTGCTATTGGCGATCGATCAGGAATAGCAAGAAGCAATGGCAATTTGGGCATTGCCTGTCATAGTTTAGGAGAATATCAGAAGGCCATTGACTATCACAAAAAAGATCTAGAAATAAGCACTGCTATTGGCGATCGATCAGGAATAGCAAGCAGTAATGCCAATTTGGGCAATGCTTATCATAGGTTAGGGGAATTACAGGAGGCCATTGACTGTCACAAAAAAAATCTAGAAATAAGCACTGCTATTGGCGATCAATCAGGAATAGCAAGAAGCAATGCCATTTTGGGCAATGCCTATGATAGTTTAGGAGAATATGAGAAGGCCATTGACTTTCACAAAAAAGATCTAGAAATAAGCACTGCTACTGGCGATCTATCAGGAATAGCAAGAAGCAATGGCAATTTGGGCAATGCCTGTCATAAGTTAGGAGAATATCAGAAGGCCATAGAATATTACCAAAAAAATGTCGAAATAAGCACTGCTATTGGCGATCGATCAGGAATAGCAAGAAGCAATGCCAATTTGGGCAATGCCTATGACAGTTTAGGGGAATATCAGAAGGCCATTGACTATCACGAAAAAGACCTAGAAATAAGCACTGCTATTGGCGATCGATCAGGAATAGCAAGAAGCAATTGCAATTTGGGCAATGCTTATGATTGTTTAGAAGAATATGAGATGGCCATTGACTATCACAAAAAAGATCTAGAAATAAGCACTGCTGTTGGCGATCGTTCAGGAATAGCAAGAAGCAATGGCAATTTGGGCAATGCCTACCAGAGTTTAGGAGAATATCAGGAGGCCATCGACTATCACGAAAAAAATCTAGAAATAAGCACTGATATTGGCGATCTATCAGGAATAGGAAGAAGCAATGGTAATTTGGGCAGTGCCTATCATAGTTTAGGAGAATATCAGAAGGCCATTGACTGTCACAAAAAAGATCTAGAAATAAGCACTGCTATTGGCGATCGATCAGGAATAGCAAGAAGCAATTGCAATTTGGGCAATGTCTGTGATAGTTTAGGAGAATATCAGGAGGCCATTGACTGTCACAAAATAAATCTAGAAATAAGCACTGCTATTGGCGATCTGTCAGGAATAGCAAAAAGCAATGGCAATTTGGGCATTGCCTATTATAGTTTAGGAGAATATCAGAAGGCCATTGACTATCACAAAAAAGATCTAGAAATAAGCACTGCTATTGGCGATCGATCAGGAATAGCAAAAACCAATGGAAACTTGGGCAATGTCTATGATAGTTTAGGAGAATATCAGAAGGCCGTTGACTATCACAAAAAAGATCTAGAAATAAGCACTGCTATTGGCGATCGATTAGGAATAGCAAGAAGCAATGGCAATTTGGGCAATGCCTATGATAGTTTAGGAGAATATCAGGAGTCCATTGACTATCACAAAAAAGATCTAGATATAAGCACTGCAATTGGCGATCAATCGGGAATAGCAAGAAGCAATGGCAATTTGGGCAATGCTTATCATAGTTTAGGAAAATATCAGGAGACCATTGACTATCACCAAAAAAATCTAGAAATAAGCACTACTATTGGCGATCTGTCAGGAATAGCAAAAAGCAATGGCAATTTGGGCAATGCCTATTATAGTTTAGGAGAATATCAGAAGGCCATTGACTATCACAAAAAAGATCTAGAAATAAGCACTGCTATTGGCAATCGATCAGGAATAGCTAGAGGCAATTGCAATTTGGGTAATGCCTATGCTAGTTTAGGGGAATATCAGAACGCCGTTGACTATCACAAAAAAGATCTAGAAATAAACACTGCTATAGGGGATCGATCAGGAATAGCCAGAAGCAATGGCAATTTGGGCAATGCTTATCACAGTTTAGGAGAATATCAGGAGGCCATTGGCTATCACAAAAAAGATCTAGAAATAAGCACTGCTATAGGCTATCTATCAGGAATAGCAAGAAGCAATGCCAATTTGGGCAATGCCTATGATAGTTTAGGAGAATATCAGAAGGCCATTAACTATCACAAAAAAGATCTAGAAATAAGCACTGCTATTGGCGATCGATCAGGAATAGCAAGAAGCAATTGCAATTTGGGCAATGCCTTTGATAGTTTAGGAGAATATCAGAAGGCCATTGACTATCACAAAGAAGATCTAGAAATAAGCACTGCTATTGGCAGTCGATCAGGAATAGCAAGAAGCAATGGCAATTTGGGCAATGCCTGTCATAGTTTAGGAGAATATCAGAAGGCCATTGACTATCACAAAAAAGATCTAGAAATAAGCACTGCTATTGGCGATCGATCAGGAATAGCAATTTGCCGCGGCAATTTAGGAAGTTCCCATCGATGTTTAGGAGAGTATGAAGTTGCAACATCTCACCTAATAGAATCAATTAGTTTTTTTGATGAAATGTTTTTAGATTCAGTTCCAGAACAAAATCAACTGGCATTCGCGAAGCAATATTTTGAATCTCATACAATTTTAATGAGTTGTTTCCTTTCGTTGAAGCGTGCTGAGTCCGCATTATTGGTCATTGACCTTGGTAGGTGTAAAGAGCTCCATTACTGCATTGAAAAACGTAGGAATTATGTTGATAAGGAGTTGTTCGATTATGCCCGTGCGATATGGAATAGAATTGAGGCCAGAGAAGAACAAATAGAAATAGAAGGATTGCAAACTCTTCTCCACCTAGGAAAAAATGATACATCAATTTTAGTATTCGCTTTTGATTTGGAAGGTGTTCTTAATGCTTGGGTTTTAACTGACAAAGTTATCTTCAGAAAAGTATTAGACGCTCGTCGGGAAACATTTTATCTGCTTATTATGGAACTTTTTGGAAGGGTAAATGTTAAGGTTGATCGAAATTCGTCGTTTTACATACTCGATTCAGTTGCTAACACTATTAACCAAGTGATGTCGCCTTTTGAGCTCCCAAGCGGAACGGCTGCCTCTAAAAATGCGGTTGACAATCCTGCTAGCTATAATCATATCTCTGATCAAAACATTTTGGAAATGTTGTTTAAACTTTTAGTTCATCCTGTAAAAGATCTGATTAGAGGCAATAATCTCATTATTGTCCCTGACCCGCTGTTGTTTTTTACACCCTTTTCAGCACTGATTGATGAAAATAGCTCATATTTATCCAACATTTACAGTGTTCAAATTTCCCCTTCATTGCATACTCTAAAGTGTACGATGGAACAATCCTTTGGCTCAAACTTTGGATTTGCATTGTTTGTTGGTAATCCAACTGTTGGAAAAGTTAGTTTAAACGGAAAATATGTTACACCGGCTGACCTGCCCAATGCCGGTGAAGAAGTTAAATGTCTCTCAAAGGTTTTCCAAGCAAGGCCTTTATTAGGACGCGAGGCAACAAAACATGTAGTGTTGCAGCTTTTAACTGGGGCTAGTATAATCCATATAGCTGCCCATGGAGAACCTACTCGAGGCGAAATAATGCTTGCTTCAATTTCTTCTCTTACTGAGCCGCGCTCGTCTGTTCCTGAACCAGAGTCATACCTTCTCACTCAACGAGATATTCTAAATATTTCTGTGCAAGCTCACTTGGTAGTTTTATGTTGTTGCCATACTGGGCAAGGTGAAATTACTTCAGAAGGTGTCATAGGTATAACTCGAGCGTTTCTTGCAGCTGGGGCTCGCTGTGTTCTTGCCACACTGTGGCCTATTAGCGATTATGCCACAAAGGAATTCATGGAGAAATTTTATGGTGAACTTTGCCAAGAAACACCAGTTTGTGAAGCTTTACGAAGAACAATGAACTACTTTCAGACACATGAAAAAGAGGGATGCCGATCCAGTTGGATCTGGGCTCCGTTTACCATCTATGGGAAGGATGTGAAGTTTGGAAAAGATGAGATTGAAAAAATTAGGGAAAAATCGCATGAGTTTTTTTCCGGTTTCGTCGTGGTATGACTACGATCCTAAAGTTTATGACTAGCGTTACATTAACTATGCTTGAAATCTCCAGCAGGCATCACCCGAATCATTTAAACGTCGTCGAACTTTAACTTAGTCTAATTGGTAACCGCAGCCTGACATAAATTTTTATTATCATGCGGTAGTATGGAATATTTTAGACTGAGCATTCCATTATTATATATTGCTAGTGGAACGTCGACTGTTCAGAATGCTTAAATGTAGCTAGATATACCAATTGTTATTTCGTTAATTGTTTTGAAGAAAATATAATCGATTTTGTTCAGGAAAACGGTTGGTTTGATTGAGTTGCTCTTGATCAAATGTTTTAGCTTATATTGTGCTTGACAATGGACAGAAAAATATTCTGTAATAAAAATAATGTCAATTATTAAAGTCGCTGGTTGACAGGAAAGTAGTAGAGTTTTTCTTATGTAAGTGGAAGAGGGGTTTCATCACATTAAAGTTGCCAAGTTGTTGTATTTGGTACGTGCTTTCGAGAAAATGGAAGAGGAAAATATTTGAACTTGGAAGGTGCTGTGCAGAATGTGTTCGCGTTGCCATGCGCGGAATCTGATATTGCGATAGCGAGTTCACCTAGAAAAGTAGGAGAGAAAATGGATTTTAGCTTTGTGTTTGTGATTTAGAGTTGCTTGTCCGTTGTTCCAACATGAGCTCCACCTTACTATATGAGTAAATTGTTAAACACGTCCGAATTTATCAATGCAATAAATTCGCGACACATGTTGAGCCCTAACCCTACCCCCAACTCCTAACACTAATCCTAACCTCTAACCCTAATTGTTTTGAATCTAACCCTCATCTAATCTTTATCTGAAACTAATCCAATTGTTTTAAAGTCCAAATTTGACATGTCATTGTGCATTACAGTAGGTGTTAAATATATATGGAATCCGATTTACTTTATTTAAACTTATAAACGTCGCGCTTTAGGCTATGAAATAACACCTTTTTGTTTCGTTGCTATAGTAAATTTATTAGCAAATATACGACCAGATTTAAAATGGTCGGACGAAATCCCATTTTCTAACCTTTGGGAATTTCAATTTTAGACAAATTTTGAAGAAATACTAGTATATTTGGAAAAAGTTTGGCATGGCGAGTTTAGAGTGCAAATTTTCAGGTTTTGAGATGTTTTAAATTTCGTGGTGTAGGTATCCCCTTAGCCTTTACCGCAGCTCTGCGGTAGCCCTGGATATAAAGCAGGTACATTATTTTACATAGGTCAAATAATTGGCAATAAAAAGCAAGGCATTGTTTCGCCTAAGTGAAATCCATTTTAAATAATATAACGACTAGGGTTCGTTCGCTCGTGTTCACGCTTTCGAAATTGATGTTGTGCATGCATGGTATGGATATATAGTTGATGATGTGTTAATTAAGTTATTTTAATGATCGCTTTTTTATAATAATTTCTACATACCTGTTACACTAACTTCACAACAGTGGCAACATAATGACTGCTCTGCTACACTCTAAATACCCGGGTGTACTACAACATCAGAATGGTGCGATCATTGCAGCTTCTTATTTAACGTAAATGCTAAAAACCATTGTTGTGTTCGGAAAACACCAAAATTACACCTAATAAGTGCATTAAAACAGCTGTAACACTTATTGGGTGTAAATATATCACGACTGATAGCGTATTTGGTGTTTCCCTAACACACAAATGGCAAAAAAAAAACATTCACGCTATATCGGTCTCTACAGAAATGCAATGCATGATTACATCATTCTGTTGTTCTTGCAACACCCAGAAATTTGGAGTCAGAAATTAGCCAAAAGTGAATGAATAAATGTAAGCAAAAGTATTTATTAAGGTTTGCAGCAAAAAAGTACGGTAATATATTAGAAATATAAATGTCAGGTCAAAAGACAATAAGTGGTCAAGACATAGCTATAAATATAGTTTGAATATTGATATAGTAATATTCAGCCCATGCAGCAAATACTCTGTTTTCGTCACATAAATGGCTGTAAAATATAAGTATATGTTTAATTTATATTTCAATGTAGTTCTAATAATATTTTAGGTGAATATTTTAAAGTACAGTAGATCTTTAAAATATACACTTAAAATATATATATACTTTACTAAGTATTTTGCTATCCTGCAATATATACTTGCATAGCATCACATTATGTGTATAGATTGTTGATGATGTAACAGAGTATTTGTTGGCTGCCTATGTTAAAACTTGACTGGTGGAAGCAACCGTAACTATGCGTTGTAAGATTAATAAAGGTTTTTAATGCAAGATGGATAACATTCCTTATCCTTATTTTCTTTCCGGAACAAGCTAGGGATTTGGTTTTCACTGGAACAAATTCCTAGGAAACAAATAGAATCAAGGGAAATTGCTTTGAAATTAGGAGTTAAAATATCCATATATTTGATTCACGGGTGCACTTATTAGCGAATGTTACAACAACGCTGCCTCACGTTGTTCCTATTCAATATTTCGTAGATTCGCTATTTCTTCGTATCAGTCACTGCACATACATAGTCTAGAAATTGTTGTTGATATTGTTTATTACAACGATATACAAGTAAATTCAAGAAAGTTTACACAAACTTGACCAAAATATTTTTGAAATTGATTGTAGGCATCATATTTCACCATATTTCAGTCGTGTATTTTAATGTCTTTGCTATTTGTTCTCAAAGGCGATATGTGAAAATGACTTATCTTGGCATATGCTGAAAAAGGTTTGTTTTAGGATTATAATATATCATTGTATACAAAACATTTTCAAGGTCGCAAATTTGTATAAACTTTAATTGAAACACCATACGTTGGAGATTGTAACAGAATAAGCATGTTTACTTGCATGTGTGACACACAGACATACCGATTGTGTACTATATTTGTGAGAAATAATATAATAAACTTTATCCAACATTCCACAACGTGGTTAAAGATCAATGGTAGTGAACAATATGAAGCAAGTAATATAAGAAACACAAAAATTCAGCAAATATTTGCACGGAATCACATTCGGACGATGCATTTGAACTATTAATCATTTTGCGACATAGTGGAACATTGATGAAAGCAAGTATTATAAACACTATCAAGAAAATCTGAAGCATTTGCTCCTGCCTTAACTTGGACGACATGCAGAACAATACGTATTCTTCATTCGTGTATACTCTGAGCGAACAACGGAATTAGGAAAATGAATTAATGGTAATATACTAGTTATAAAGATTAACACCATCAGCTTACTATTTCCAACGGAGTATGGTTTCTGCCATGCCATTCTCGTTCAATAAAAACTGCAAAATCGGCTGTTACTCAAGAAATCCAATTATATTAAACAGACGCGTAATATTGCAAAGGAAACGGGACGGGTTAATGTGGTATTACAAAATCTGTACGCTCCAGCCGAGGATTAATCCTGGATTGAAAAACTAAATGTGAATAATTGTTGTATTGGTTGGAGAAATATAAAACACCTGCCACAAGCATCAAGTGTTGCTTCCTGATTTACAAGTTTAACCAGCGAAATGCAAATATTTACTTTTTGGAAAGAATTAAAGTTTTATTAAGATATAACACTTGTTATTAATGACACTATCTATATATCATCTATGCTTGTTTGAAATACTGAAAATGACAGTCTTATTCCCACAGTTTTAAAGGTTACCATATCAGGTGCTTCGAAAGCTTGAAAACATCCTTGTAGCAAAACCGTCTAGGAATCCGTAGTTAACTCTTGCGGTTATGACAGCTTTTGAAATTATATGCGATGATCGGCTGAGATGAAAACAATTATGGCTATGTTCGCACGAATGTGGTTCAATTGTGATGTTGCTTGTAAAAATGAAAAGTAGAAATTTATCAACGGAAACCCAATATCAGAAGAACTAGAATTATAGGACTCTGCAAAACATCTACGAAAATAATTTTTACAGTGCACAAGGTAGTCATGCATGCAAGAACGTTGTCGGAAAGTTAATGGTAGATAATTAAGAACATAATAAAGGCATAAATTTTAGAAACATTTACTGGTATAATAATCGTTTAACTTCCTACCATTTTATTGACCTTTTTTTCTTAAGTAACGAATATTACTTGAATAAAGTGCGAGAGATTTTAGAATTTTCAAGAGCTGCTCAAGCTTTAGGATATCTTGTAAAACAAAATGTTGGTGGGAATTTTATTAAATAATCGTCACCATCTTCAAAGATGTATCCACAACGTTCAACCAAAACTTTATTTTTTCAAAAGTAAGGGAAAGTACATTTATTATGCCGAGGGGGGGGGGGGGAAGATGTTAAGGGGGGGGCACCGAAATATTTTCTGGCATTAAAGGGGGGCTCTGAAAGTTCTCGATATACTGAAGGGGGGCTCTAAACTTTTCAACGTTTTGGTCCAGCACTACCAGCAGGGGCCTGGAGTGTTCACTCCCACCATAGTTAATAGAACAGATGGTTTGGAAACTGATTAGAATAACAATATAACTCATTACCCATGTTAGTGAACAATGACATTCATAGATCTGGTCTTTTACAGTCACGTGAGACGTATTGTATTTTTGCCCGACTGACCAATAGCAATCGGTTTTAGGAAAGTTGCCTATCTACGACTCAAACAATATGATAAATTGAAAATTGCGGTGAAAGAATATATTTATGAATAAACGTTGACTAACATAGATAATGAGAAATATTGTTATTCTAATGATTTCCAAACTGTCTATACTATATTAACTGACATTGGGGGAGCTCCAACACGAAAAGAAGGCTGCAACACACCTGTCATAAATGCATGCAAAAGCACTAATATGCTTCAACTTCTGAAATTTTCATTCTGTTTCATTCGTTCTTACAAATCTTTTTTGTTTTGTTTTTGGAATTGCTACTTTTTGGCGGGTAAATTATGTCACAAACATGGTGCCAAAAAGTAAAATAAGCTATTGGTGATTTTACTGAATTAAACTGAAATCTGTTTCTAAATACAACCATTTTATAGGAAGATATAGCGATACAAGTGTCGAAAAATCGGCCACATTGTTAATAAAAATAGAACAAAATGGCGGATTTTTAGAAATTTAAGTCATTATATCTTCGCAAGGAATGGTTGTCAGGGACGCAGCAACTGGGGGTTGTGGGAGAAGGGTGTAAAGTCCCCCCCCTACTGTGAAATTCAGGCAAAAATCATGTAAAATTCAAGTTAATTATTACACGTATAATCCTCCGACATCCTCCAAATGTCAGATGCTTTGCCTACGTCCCTGATGGTTGTATTCGAAACCGATGTCAGTTTAAGATATCCTTAGTCTGCTCTTCCAGAAACAAAAAAAAAAGCATACGATTTGTAAGAATGATATGTTCTGTGTTCATGGGATATTTAGTACAAACGGGATAAAAAGTAAAGAAATTGAAGCATATACTGGCGATTTTGCATGCATTTTGACAGGCATGCAAAGGCATTTGCAACAGATGCCAGGTGATACGTTGGCAATTTCATTCGATTCCGAATTTTGGGGGGGTTGCATTGAAAAAAACTCAAAGGGGGGGCTTCGAAAATTTTCCAATAACCTCAACAGTGGCCCTGAAAAAAATGTGCATTTTTCAAGACATCATCACCCCCCCCCCCCCCCGTAATAAATGTACTTTCCTAAGTTTGCTTTCCCATTCGTCTTGCACCTCTGATATTCTGATGCCTCTCAAACAATATATTATTTTATATATATTCTAATATCCCTTAATGTTAGTAGTTAATATAAATGAAATTCGAAATGGACCAAAAAACTTAGTTTGTATATATAAACGATAGAACGTGTTTGTAGTTGTAATGAAAGTTTGAAATGTGTACACGTTTACAAATGAATTTCAAATTGTTAAAATATATACTGTTAAAAGGTCAAATATAGTCCTGTTTTGATAATTTTCAGTAAACGTGAATCATGGACGAGCTATGGAGCAGGTATAGAGCATGCACTGTAAATTTTATGGAGTTGAATCAAATATGAAAGAGTGATTTTGTTACCGTTTTGGAGTTGATTCAACACTTTTAGAGGTAATCAAACTCCTTGAAATTTACAGTGCGGTTGCGTCCATATACTCGGCTAATCATGCACGACCAGTTTAATTTAGAGCTATATATATATATTCTCTAGGCCACTGATCCACTATCTACAGTTAATTTATTCATGAAAGCATTATTAACTTGAATTCATTAATGACTTGGTAAATGGCTATCGTATAGTGAAGTGAACCTTACGCACTATCTTCGATTGGTGAATTTAAATAAAAATAACATTCAATGATAGTGATTTGACTTGAGTTTGAAGCATGTAATTCAGACCAGAAGATATTTCGCGTGTTAAATCCATTTTTTATATTATGTTTTATTTTTCTTCCTCATGTCTTGAACTATTCAAGATATAAAACAGCTCCCCAAGTTTATGCCCAAGAGGCCACCCAATCTCACTGACGTTGAATTTAGTGCCCTTCAATCACTTCGTGCTCGGAATGACATTGTTATCAAAGCTGCTGATAAGCGGGGGTGCCTTGACAGTTTGGAGGGCTGATTTATATCGTAACTGGGGGGGGGGGGATTTGGAATCTGTAGTTCGTCGGGAAATAACATTTTCAGAGTATCTAGAGATGTTATGAAATTTATACTCGGAAAATGTAGGCTACTTCTTTTCTTCCTGAGATCTTATCATCTGGGACACAAATAGGGAATAAAAATTGCGAGTCCTATAGATCTAATTACGAGAGCTATAACATACTGAATTCCCAAGCTGTCTTAAAAAAGTAGTATTTTATGAGAAAAAGTAGGAGAAAGTTGGAAAGTCAAGCAATTATAATAAAAAATAGGAAAAATAGGAAAAGTAGGAAAAAGTAGGATGACAAGAAAGCCTGCATAGATGACTGTCTCGGCACCGCATCATGTTCTCGTGTTGAATTGGAACGTTTTATTAACTTTGTTAATAACTCCCATCCAGCACTCCTGTTCACATGGGAGATCATTGAGACCAGTGTGTCATTCTTAGATATTAGGCCGTTTGCTGTGACCTCGATCGAACAGTGCTCACAGAAAACGATTTTCATTTCCCATGCCTTAGAACTGAAATATTTTGCGGGCCCTAACACTTTCGAAGACGCTGAGTTGAAAGCCGAAAAGTTCCCGCTACGTAGACCCGCATTTCACGACAAATTTTTTCATTGGGGAGTTTAAGCTCCACGTTTGCGGGAACGGCAAACGGCAAGGCCGAATTTTCTTGGCATAATTTTCGTTCTATTTCTGTATTTCATATTTTCTTTCGTATAACACAGGAATAGTGAAGCATTCTAGTTATAAAACAACAAGCCCATTTACTTTTTATTGCTTTATAACGTAAAATTTTTGTTTGCCTGACGTTTGGCGGTTGTCGTTGAACGCGAAGCTTAAGCTCTCTAAAGGCCGTTTTCCACTTCGCCCGTATCGTACCGTATCAAAAACGTTTTTAAATTTCAAAATTTCGTGAATGTTGATTGGTTAGTACTTCCGTAGTGCGCCAAAAAGTTGACTTGCGACGAACTTTTTATTTTGATACGCGAATACACCCGGAAGTACGTGGATTTATAAACCTCTTTTCAATCTGCGCATGCTCACCGATACGTTACGGTACGATACCGGCGAAGTGGAAAACCGGCTTAATGTTCAACGACATGGATGGATAAAAACACACGATTGCATAACTGAAAATGATTCATTCTTATGAACCAGTCTCTACATTTAACAAAAAAACGTTTTGCTTCGATCGTTTTGAGTTATATAATTTTAAGCGCATTGGACGTAAAGATATCTTGTCTACAACTTTGGGAAGGTCGGTACCTTCGGCATATCGCTTTTTAACATCCTCAGTTCTGTATCAAATCACAGCGACGTTTATGTTAAGTCTTTGGGATATGTCTCTGCGCTGAGAAATAATTCCTTACATGCGATCAAAATCTTTTATACAGTAGGCCTACGACGATGTAAAACGGTAATCTTATGTAATTGGGTCAGAATTTAAATTTCCAACACAGTTTCTGAGAAGTAATTCAACAGGTAACTTATGCTATTCGGTGCGATAAGCGAATATTATTGGAAAGAGTGCCTCCATATACGTTGAAATCACCAAATAAACAGCTCATGCACACATTTCTCTACTTCGTTGTAAGTTTACAAGATTTTATACTTTGGCACTGATCTTTGTCTTTGATGTGAACATTTATTGCTCTAGCTAGTTAATTTATGTTTATTTAAGATTAATCCTGTCGTAAGTCTCAACCAACAACCCATCGGCATCGACAATATTTCATTTTAGCGTTGTCTTTGCCGTTATGTTGGCTTCGCGTCACTTTTTTTACCTTGATTTTTTACCTTGATTTACCGCCAGCGACATAGGCAAAAGACTTACGTCCTCGTGATTTTATAGAGATATATATTTATAAAGCGTTTTCTGTACTTTCTCAAAGTTGTAGACAAGATATCATGTTGTTCACGTCCAACACGCATAAGATTACATAACAATCTTTTATGTGACAATCAATTGTGACATAATCGTTTGTCGTCATCGATCCATGTCGTTGAACAATGAAAAAATTTGTCGTAACATTAGTGAAGATAAAATAGCAGTTTGTGAGAAAACTGCGGGTCTCCCGTAAAAATATTTCAGTTCCAAGACATGGGAAATGAAAGTCAACGATATCGCGACGCAGCAAACGGTCTATGTATCAATTAATGGTAATAAACTAGTCACTTTTGTGCTCTACAAGCTTACTGACTCCCATAGCTATCTTCTATTTTCCTATTCCCATACCAAAAGGTCGATTCCCTTCTCTCAGATCCTTCGCTGCATTTGCAGTGAAGAGGACTTCCAAGCCCAAGGTCTGGAAATGAGACCGCTTCTTTGTCCAACATGGCTATCCCACCTCTCTATTAGACACTGCCTTTTCGAAGGTCTCCCAAATTCCCCAATCTGAGACCCTTACAGACCATGTGTCCAATGTCACAGGTAACAAAAAAATCCCTCTAGTATTAACTGAACATCTTTTTAATTTCAAAGTTAGAGATGTCATTTGGAAGAATTTCCATATTTTGAAAAACGACCCCGAAACATCTTCCATTTTCTCGAATAACCACTTAGTTTCTTTTCGAATAGCAATAATAGCTCGTAACTCCCCATCACAGGATTCGTCATCACAAAATGCCACGTTTCCTTGCCGGGTTGCCAAATGCAAAACCTGTGATTTTATAGATTCTGCCACCACCATTTCGGCTCCAAAATCTCAATACCATGTCAAGACTGCAGCATCTATATTGGAGAAACTGGAAGGTTTTTCAGGACAAGGTTTGATCTGTCTTTGCCTGTCAAAACCACAACTTGATAATACTTTTAATTCTTACCTTATTCCATATTTGCTGCAGTTTTCTGTATATTTGCTGCGAGCGCCGGTGTGCGATTTTTGTTTGTCAGGATGATTTTGAGCACGCGTATGTATGTGCTGCGGTTTCATCATTAGTCGTGTGCGAATGCGTTCATATTCGCACTTATGTGCATGCTGCTCGCGTCAGCTAGAGCATGGTTATACGTTCGAAAAGTTGTAGAAGGCAAAAACTAGGTAGGTCGATTCAAATCATGTCAAATTTAAATTTATTTGTTGCTGGATCCGGAAGCATTCATCAAGGTAGCGAACGGTTTAGTGAAATTTCACGATGAAGACAATGTTCTTTTATGAGTTTTTCGGCGTTATTATTTGCTCAGACTATGCCCATCCAACAGTGGACTGCATCTAACGTAGATTAGATTCTTGCTGAGGGAGATCGACTTTTATCTCTCGATGCTTTTGAAAGTAGATGCATCCCTGACACAGAGACGTTGTCCCTGGATTACCTGTCCCGTGAGATGCGACGGTCTCTTGCAAGGCCGAAACTTCGGTATTACGGCTGGGGGGGGGGGTGAGTTTGTTTTGCCCGACCAATAAGGAGTGCCCGACGAACATTTGCCAAAAATTTTTTCCAAAAATGTTTCTGGACAATGACCTCCACCCCCCTCCCCCCGCCCGCACCCCCACTCCCATCGACAACCTTTTAGGGAAAAAATTTGCCCAAAAAACACAAATTTTTCAGACATATTTTCGTAAATTTATCAAAATTTTCTCTAGAACTATTACTTTTCGATAAATTATGTTACATTTTTTCCCCAAATACATAGTTTTTTCCGGACGAGCGTGTCGAACTTGCTTGACGAAACTACAATATTACAAGATTGGGTGGTGGCTCACTCCCCCCCCCCCTCCCCACTAGTTTTGGCCCTGGTCTCTTGACGCAAACACTATGTAAATTTATACAAGACAAACAAACGTTCGCTTTAATACCGTCGTTTGCAACTACGGATGAACGGTCGTAGATAAAAATTGTCTATTCTCATAACAAAGTACAATACATTTATCGAGAAACTTCAATGTTTGTGGTAATCATGTACTGGTTTCAATTAGCTCAGCCAATCAGCTTGGAGCTGCTTAATTAAACGTGATTGGCTGATCAGATTAAAACCTGGCAAAGGGTTCTTGACAAGCATTGAAGATTCTGATACAAATAGGCAATGTTTTTATCTGCGACTGTCCACCTTAGTTGCAAGCGACGGTATTTGGGCTAAAATATGGGGGATGTTGAGTCGCTTATCAGGGAGACTAATTCTGATCTACTGGTGGAAGATCAAAACTCGTGAAACAACGCACCTTTGTGGTTAGTGTTACATGATGGCTAATATCATGTAATTTTACATATATTAAATATTATTATACTATTTGCTGACGCAGCGAGCGAGCCTGAAGCGAGCGAGCAAGTCAGCAGTTCTAATTCGTATTGGACTCTGAAAGTAAGATTTTACTTCCGATTCTCCGACCAGAATGCACTGCTGTTAACCGACCAGAATGCATTGCTGTTAACCGACCACAATGCTTTGCATGCATGATGCTATAAATACGGGGAATCATATTAGTCAATGCGTTTATATAACGATGCAGTTGTTTTGGTGTATATTGTATTCATTGTATGGAATATACTGAATTTTTAGAAAGCGATATTTCTGTGTTTGTGTTTTTTGCCTTATCGTTTTCCCTTTTCTTATCTCATTTCGCAGTAAAATCAACATGCACTGTAATTGCACGCTTGAAGCGTTTATTTCAAGCGTTAAAAGAGAACTTCGATCATCTCGATTGTTGTCGATCAGTTTGGTATTAATTTAAACAGGGTTTTGTCAGTTGACTTTTTGTTTGAATATGATTTGACTATAAGGTATAATTGACACGCACTGATTGCATCAACAGTTCCGTAACTGCCGACTATGACTATAGTATGTCATTTTAAAAGAACGATGCTTTACATGATTTTTCATGGGTAAATTGATGTACTTTTGCCTGCCAGAAAGCACTACAGGGTATATCAAAAAATATAATTTGCATGATTCTGCTGTTTACTAGCATTTCAATGTCTGTGCTATAGTTATTTTGCTCCTGGTATTTGAAAATACATTCTAATTAACCGCGTTGATAGCTAGTAATTAGAATAACACAAAGTTATTTGTAATGCAGAAAACTAATTATCAGTTCGACTGCGAATGGCCGAATGGGTCAACTATTAACGTATTGTGTTTATACGCACACTTGGGATCAAAATTAGTTCTAAATCCATGCAAATTCTAAAAGCATTTTGCAGGGTTTTTTGATATACCCAGTATGCTATATACACAATATACAGTAATGTTATGCTTATGCATTGTTTAACCATGCAACGCAACCAGGGGCAAGTCAGTAGGATTGAAGCATGTGCATGGAATATTTTTTTATCATTGATCATGCTTTTCTTATGTCTGGCATGTGTCGAATGCATTAAAAACAATCTCCTTAACTCTAGTTTTCGAAGTAACGTGGTTAGTTTTGCTCCATGTTGTTCGGTATTCAGTTCTTAAACGACTTCGCATCAGTAAATTCAAATAACGACAATGCAATAGCCCG